TGATGTTGATATATCCAGTGTGAGAAGTGTTGGGTGAGAGTGTGTTTCAAGAGCCAGTCAGGGGGAAGGATGTCTGGAGCAATGAGAGGTAAGATCAGGGGTCCACAGGGACTTGTTTGGCCCTGCACTCTATCCATCAAATGCTGTTTGCCAATGCCACAGTCAGGCCTAATGAGGGTGTGCTAGGATCCTTGCACAAAATGTCACCATCCCAATACAAACACACACACACACACACACACACACGAAATACAGCACACACATACATATCAGAGAAACACCACTACATCTAGAGATGTCTACTCAAGAAATAAGAATGTTGTCTTTTTCACAACTTTACACCTGGCAATCCAGTATCAAATGCCAGTGAAAGGAAGGTGTCCGGAACTCCACCTCGTGTTAGGATAATTGGATTGGGAAGCTCTCATATCAGTCTATTTAAACTCATTAGGATCATAAGCCTCAGATAGAATATACATCCTTTTTTTTTTTTTTTTAAATACAGCATGGTATACATATTACCAGGCTTACTAATACATTGCATATTTTTATTATATAAAGCATGTATAGGTCCTAATTTTGAGGGCTCAATATAATTATGTTTATTTACGAGAATGACAACTGCATTCTACAAATGAAATTTTCAGGGCTCACAAATGCATTTTAGGTGAGCTCATGTTGTGTGAATGGAACTATACTGGAGTTGTCTTCTATGGTGTTCGAAAAAGACCCAAAAATAAGACTTCCCTTTAAGCACTCGTCTCACTGAATATGACGTCTGCATCTGCCATATGTACAGTAACATCTGCGTCTAAATTTGAATGAGCTTGAATTTTAAATTATCTTAATTAAATGCCTTTTCCCCACTTGCCTTGGACAAAGGGATTGTCCTCTAAAGAAATTAAATTTTTGTCATTTTATAAATCTGTATCACTTTTTTTTCTTTCTTTTTTAACACAAAATATATTTAAAAAGAATGTTGGTTGCCAAACAGTTTTGGTTACCATTTACTTCCACTGTATGGACAAGAACAAATTTATAAACTGAAACATTTCTCAAAATATCTTCTTTTATGTTCTACAGGGGAAAAAAAGTCATATAGACCTAGAACAACAAGAGAATTTTAATTTTTATGAGAACTATCCCTTTAAATATATTGTCTAATCATTTGACATGGTTTTAAGTACAAAAACTAGTATAAATCAGTTCCACAGAATTTTACAGATTCAGATGGAACCTGAGAAAACTGTTTTGTTCCATTTCAGACCATCTACCCCAATCTCTGAGCTGATGGAGTATAAGTATGCTCAGAGATGGCTAGAAGAGCAGCAGGCCAAGGACAGAGCCCTACAAGCCCATCAGCATAAGAAGGTCTGTGGAGGATCTCACAAAATCACTTTAATATTAACCTTTGCTTAAAGAGAAAAGTGACTAAGCTGTAAGCATCTACAGAAGCTGCCCCTTTTCTTCACAGGCTCAGCTTGGACGTATACAGGACACACGGACCAGCCTGCTCCGCAAGAGTCGGCCTTTGCCTGAGCCCCCATCCTTGTGGAAACTACCTCGTTTCCAGCAGGTGAAAACACTCTATAAAATCATATTTGTGGCAACTTCAAAGCTATATACAATATTTGTTGTATTTTTTCATTTAGTGGTTTAGTTGATTTACACTGAAAGGATAAGCAAGATAACTGTACTGTGTGTGTGTGTATACACGCATGAGAGAGTGTGAGTGTGTTTGTGGTCCTGGTAAACCCTACCTTATGGGGACAATTTCTCCCCACAAAGATGGCAATAGTTGGGGACCAAAACCATTTTTTGGTCCCCATGAGGAAAACAGCTTATAAATCATACTGAGTGATGTTCTTTTGAAAATGTAAAAATGCAGAAAGTTTTCTGTGATGGGTAGGGGTAGGGTATAGAATGTGCATTTTGTACAGTATTAGAATCATTATGTCTGTGGAAAGTCCCCATAAAACATGAAGACCCAACATGTGTGAGTGTGTGTGTGTGTATTGTGACAGTGTGTCGTATAAGACACACTGAAAAATCCATGCTGAAAGTATCTATATCTGCCTCAAGCCCTTACAAGTGTTCACATGTCTTCTAACCCCTTCAGTTTTTAGGTCCCTGTGCTGCTAGCCTTAACGCAAAAGCACCTAGTAAATCAAAAGTGCTTTGTTTTTATTGGTCTTTTGCGTTGACAAGCACACTACCAACCTGACAGCTCTACCTGTCAGCGGTGCATAAAAATTCTCCATTGACAATCCCCAATGCTTCCAATTATGAAGGAATCAGACTCCCGCTGAGCTAATGATGGCCCTTACACACATCCTAACACACCTTTACAAGCACTGACAGAACGCCACAAAACAGAATGCACTAGCCACACTATTTATTTAAACAGGGCTCCAGACCACGATTAAAATAGTTGGAATAAATACAACAGAAATCATAAATTAGTATTTTTGTAAAAGAATTGTGTTTTGTCTGTATGAAGTTTCCTCTAGATATCATCTTATCTTGTTGTGCTGGTGTTTATTGCACAGCGCAAGGCCTTCGTATGCGATTCATGGAAAAAATGACTAATGAGTTAGTTCTGATTTGAACTGAACTGCAAACCATTGAAGTAATGTTCTTTGCGTTTGTGAGACTTGTTTTTGACGTCGTTAATGTGTGGAAATAAAGATATATATATTCACAATTTTGTTGGGTGTTTTGTTGGATGAATTAATAATTTATTCTAAAAAAACTTATTTCGAAAGAATCATATTTGTTGTAAAATATATATTTAAAATCACTATAATGTTCCTTCATCCTATAGCACAGAGAAGTAACTGTTGTCAGAAGCTCAATTTAAAATCTTTGAGAAGTAAAAAAGCAATTTTAGCAATCTAAAAGAAATAAATTTGGCTCCTAAATATTTAATTTTAGGATCCAGTGGCTATCTTGTCATTTTTGGCTACACATGCATATTGCTTGTGGTATCTCACACTGCTAGTTTTCCTTTTTAACTCTTTCCATGCACTGCTCGTCCATCCTGTTTTTCTTCTCTGTCTGAATATAGCCTCTGCCAATTACAACCCCCTCCCCAACCACACACACACACACACACACACACTTCCCGTGGCTGCCTGTCCTGTCGTCCACCCTCAGTCGGCTCTAATGAGGGAGGGAGAGTGTTATTTTGGTTGCACGCCTGCACTAAATTCTCTCTTGTATGACAGCTGACGGAGAGAGAGAGGAGCGTTAACCTTATAAAAGATTTACCTCTGCTCATTACAGCCTGTCAAGTAGCTGTCCTGCTAGCGCCAGGTTCGACATTTGCATCCTTGACTCTCTTCTTCATTCTACACTCATTTTCTTCATTCCTGTTGTTTGTTTGTTTGTATTGTCACCTTCTCTTACATCTCTTTCATTCCAGCTTTCCTGAGACGTGTGTTCCTCCTATTTAATTCAAAAAGGTTTTGGAGGTGTCAAAAGTGTTTGTGGGAGGCAACTGATTTTTTTAGGGTAGAAAAAGGGAAAAGATAAACAAGTAAATATATTTAAAACATGATGTGACACACCGATAAAGTTTTAGTTTTTGCTGTTCGCATGAACTAACGTTTGGAGGATTTGAAACATATGAAATACATATTTGAACAAACCCCCCCCCCCCCCCCTCGGCTTACATATCTGCAGTTTTGAGCCATTGTTCAATTCATAAATGTGCTGTGCCAACAAGTTCTATTATTTAATAGCTGTCAGTATACATTTTTACGTACCAGCTTAGATGTTACAAAAGTAAAACGTGCTGGGCAAAGCGTCTCTGCTGCTTTTTACAGGGCTATGTTTTTTAATGTTCAACTATTCTGACTACACTTTTGTGTATCAAAACAGAATGTCTTCCATGTTCCAGTAGTGCCATTCATGTTACTTTCCTCTGTCATTCATATTTTTTTTTGTTTTCAATGGTGAACTGCAATAGGCCTCAATCTAGTATCTATCAATCTAAATCAATTTATCAGATTTAGCAGATATTGCATTATTTTTTACAATACATATATATTCACTCTCAAATATGCTGGGTTGTTTCAACCCAAATTTGGGTCAAATATGGACAAACAATAAATGTTGGGTTAAAAACGCAATTAAAAAATTTACAGTTGAAAGTGAAAGTTGAAGTTGGATTGAAATTGGAAAAGACATTTTTAACCCAACATTTGAGTTTGTCCACATTTTACCCAAATTTGGATTCAAACATTCAAAGCATTTTTTAAGTGTAGCATTTCTGATATAAAACACACACTTCTGTTTCTACCCAGACAGCAGTCTACTGAATATCAGTGTGAAATTCTGTTTTTTATTCTGTAGGTGGGACCAGCTCTGGACACCTTTCGAGATCCTGAAGCCCGGAAGAAAGCCATGAATGCCCACTACTCAGAGTCTGCAAGCAGGAGAGGGATTCTGGGTCAAGGCACTTACACAGTGGATTGATAGAGCTGGGATTATTACATCAAAGCCTCTCTGTTCATAAGGATTCTTCTTGAAGTAATAATCTCCCAATAATAAAATTGACAAAATTTGTTCTCCTGTTTTTAGTATGTAGCCTATATGTATAGTTTTGGCAAAACAAACACAGACACACACACATTATTTGAATATCCATAAATAAACCTTATGGATTTAGATCTTTTTTTATATTGGGATCTGGGATATCTGAGGGTTCGGATGGGGGTCTCTGGGTCTGTACAAGTAAAAAAAATAAAAAAATAAAAAAGGTTTAGATGTTGTTCTGATGAAGAAAAAAAAGAGAAGAAACAGTGGCAAAGCGCTAAATGTAAAATAAAGCATCGCATGCTGGATCCACGTCACGCATTGCGTGTCTGCGATTTATTTAGGACAAAAAAAAGGGGAGGGTTGACTATGTTTCTCCCCCTCCCACAACACGTACGTGATCACCACCCCCCAAAAACACCCTTTAACCAATAACGACGTGGCGCTCGGGACAAACGCGGAATGGACACCTTTAAAAGCGTGTTCCTCCTCCGGTATTGGCTGTTTCCTTGAGGGTGTCATTTTCAGGTCGTGGAGATCACTGCCTGTGTTTATACTCTGTTACACAGGTTTAGTCATCGCAGACCTGGACTAGAACTTTACACATCAGCATCGAGTTTAGGTCAGACTCAGAGCATTAGGGGGCTATGGTTGTAGTTGTGACTCAAGAAAGCCAGATAAGTTTTCAAGCTAATGAATAGTTATAACGAGTGCTTACCGTGCTCTTATGTGCGGGTGAGTCGTTGTACCTGTCCTTGGTGCTGAAACTGACCTGTGCACTCCACGGATTCGCTTTTGAGGGACTGTACGAGAGCGATTTCAACAAAACAGACCTGCAATCAAACAGCAGAAGGATCTGGTAAAAATCACTCATTAATATTGGACCTTTTTTTCTGGGACAGTATCAAAAGGAGTTTTCAAGTCTTTCCCCCCCAGAATTATGATCTGATTTTACCGTTTTGAATCTGCAAATTTTCTCAGCTGCTTCACCAAACAAAAAACAAAAAAGTACAAATGCACATTTGATATTAATTTGACTCGCAATGGAGGTATCAAACGGGTCGAGCTTTGGGATCGAGTCTATTCTTTCTCACAGACCTAGCAGTCCGTGTATGTCCAAGGGGGACTGCGGTGGGTCTCCAGCGGAGTTGAGCCCGCGGTCGGACCTGGACAGCGGCTGCTCGTCGCCCCCCTCCCCGAGACGGACCTCAGTAGAAGCCGCAGTGCAAAGACACGCTCGCGCTCTCGGACTGGACTCTCCGTTACAAATATCCCAGCAGCCGAGAACAGTCACGTCCTCGTTCTTGATCCGAGACATACTAGCGGACTGCAAACCTCTGGCAGCCTGTGCTCCCTATTCCAGCACTGGACAGTTAACACAAGATGCTGAAGACTGTATGGACAAACTTCACAGCAATTCGTCCTCGGACAGTGAATACAGGGGTGAGACACTAAGCTTGCATCTTGCAAAGAAATATTGAAGCTAAATTTCAACTCATAGAAACACAATTCAATTTTATTTTTATTAATATGTTATATTCTTTAGATTATTTTTTGGTTTGCTGTTAAGATTAATTGTCAGCTTTTACATATCTAAGAAATCATGTAAACAGTTCTAAGGCTATAGATAAATTATGACGTTTAAAATCAAGATCAAAATTAAGAAAGAGTTTTTTTTATAAAAGATCACGAAATAAGTAGCTAAAATAGGCAGCATTGCTGACACCCGTAAAGAAAAATACTTGTCCATACTTTCGTTTTTGTTTCTATTGTTCCTCTAACGCAGTTCAATGTAATTCATTGTCAAGGTAAGTTATTTAATGAGAAATTATCTCTGTTTAGGAGGTCACTTTAGTCGAAATTTGTAATGGTTTCAAAACCAAACAATATTTATCTTGTGATAGGCTACAGATACAATCGAAAGGATCTGTGTGCTCTGACTTAGCAATAAAGGTGTCTCTTTTAATGAATTTTGGATTTGACCATCTGATGATAAAATGTGTAAGCTAAAGCGTCTCATAATAGACTATCAATCCGCATCTGAGAGTCTCAAGTTCTCATTGCAGCTCGATTAAGCTGCTTATTAAGTTATTTTAATGCAATATTACAACAATATAGGCCTAATATTATCAACAACAAAAAAAAAGTTTTTTGAACTTTGACAAGTGCTGTTGAAATTAATGTTAAAATAATAAAACATCAGGAATTAAAGAAATTGGGGCAAGGCATGTAGCCTAAAACAAACAGGATTATTAAAAAAAAAAAAGAAGAAGAAGAAGAAGAAGCGTGTCTGTCAAAATGACAAATGTTGATGGTGTATTTGTTTTCAGTGAAAGACGAGGCTGATCGCGAAATCTCCAGCAGTAGAGACAGCCCCAGCTCCAGGCTGAAGAAGCCTCGTAAAGCCCGCACTGCGTTCACTGATCACCAGCTGGCGCAGCTCGAGCGCAGCTTCGAGCGTCAGAAGTATCTGAGCGTGCAGGACAGGATGGAGCTGGCAGCATCTCTCAGCCTCACCGACACACAGGTCAAAACATGGTACCAGAACCGCAGGTGAATACAAACTTCTTGTGAAAATCATAGCCTTTTTTATTTTATTTTTTACAGTCAATGATAGCTACAGAAGTAGCTTATTAAAAAAGCTGACTAGTCATAATTTGTAAGCTACTGAAACATTTTAAAAGGTATAAATATTGGCCTAAAAGTTTTATACAAAAAAAGTTTTATATTTTTTAAATATTATTTATAACAATATTATACTGTAAAAGAATTGTGCTGTTACTGTTATGCTGTCAAATTAAACCACAACGAGGAGAAAAGTTGTTCACAACTACAACCTCGCACACCATGAGTCCAACACATTTAGTTATAAATAATAAATTATTGCATCGTGTATCAATAATTTAGCTTCCGAGTAGTAATTAAACAATTGCCAAAATAATGAATTATTTATCAGAAATGGCTCTTTGCTGAGTGACGATTTGACGGATGAGTGTTCAACAGGATATTACAAGCGCGGATTCATCCTCGACGAACAAAACTTTCCATGAATCGGCAAATATTTGTTCATAGTTTATCAATTAACATTCAGAACTGACTGCATGAATGAAGGCGATGTTATAGGCCAAGTAGACTATAACCTATTCGTAATATTTTTAATCATGTTGGTTAAGACATTTTGGTTTGGTAAGACATTTGGGTTAGACTTCATTTTAAGGTGTCCGTGTTAGGCCTACATTTAGCCTGTTAAAAATATTTTCATGATTTGTATTGTAACCACGACTTTTTATCTTTTTTCAAATCAACTTTATTTTATTTAACCAATGAATGTGGTTCAAATAGGCAGAACATACTATTTTGAGTTTCTATTTATTAAACCAATCTCCTTTGTTGTATTAACTACACTGTAAAACATGATAGCCCCATTAAGTTAAATAAACTTACTTCTTGTCTTTAACTCCACTTGCAATGCTAAGTTGTGGAAATTGAACTCAAGTGTACAAGTTTTAGAAAATTAAACTTAAAGGTATGCGTTATGTTGACTAATTGTGATTTTTGTCTGGCTTGTAAATGTTCATTTAACTCGTGGCTGTAAGTTAACGTTGGGGGAGGGGTGATACAGAGCAAATACCGCGAAATACAGAGAGGAGTTGTCGCCATTTTGTGCCAGCGCAGCTGCAAGCAGGAGTCATACGGGAATTCATGCTGAAAAACACAAAATATCCGTGGAAGGTGAGTTTTTCTTTTTAATTTCTAATTATAACGTTAAATGAATAAGAACATTACGTCTTAATTGTTATAAGCAGCACATTGACCGTGCTTTGCGAATTTAACGACGCCATGGTGTTTTCTCCCACCAGTTCACCTTTTACCAGAACACAAATGGTAAAATAATTTAATATATCACTTTGGTTCATAGCTTATACCGTATTTTTTTTGTTAGTTGGTGGGTGTGTAGTAAACGCGTAACTTATAACGTTACTTACTGGAGCGGAAAAGCATGAACAAATGTCTGTTGCCATAGCATTAGCATTAGCCAACATTACACAGCTCATTAACGTTAAGTGGAAATCGATCGTGTTTGAGGTGTTCTGTGTAGTGTAGGACAGCTAAATTAATATTAATTAATTAATCCGAAAATACTGCAGGGTTTTTCCGGCCTGGAAAATTACGAGGTAGTCGCCTCCGTCACATTTCGTGTTGCCTCCGACTGTCGACAAAACTCAGTGCCAAGATTAACTTAGGCCTGTCGCTGCTACTGAAGAACGAGCGCGAGAGAGAGCCCCGGTCGCGCACCGTTTCACTGTCTTCAAACTGTCTTTGCTCTCTCTCGCTTGATTTTGAAAATGTTAGCTTTTATTTGTATCTTAGTTTGTAGAGATTAGTAATGCATTGCAAAGGCGCTTAAAATATCACCCCGTTATATAATAAAACTGGGTCAGGGCTGATAAAGTGATCTCCGGCGTGCGGCCGTGAGGAAAAAAATTGTGAACTTGAATGCGATCTAATATTTTCGAGTCAATGGATTTTCACCTAACTTTACCGATCATACAGTGTGAGATGAATGCAGCTCTCGTTGCAAGACTACCGTTATCAGAAGTAGAACAGGGCGGGTCCTGTCACAGTGTGATTGAGATCCAACGCGTTGCGTCGTCTGTGAAAGCGTGGAGCGCAAATTCAAGAAACCCGAGGATGATTATCCCACGGGCATAAATTCCTATACGGACAGGGTGCGTTAACTGCTGCTAGGTAAGTTGTGTAGGCCTAACGTTACCATCAAAACGAGTTTGATTTATAACGCAGCATTTTCTGTCAGCAATGTATGATGACAAGCAGTGCTTGTCCGTGTCAACGTTAATGCATGCGGTAATTTTTGTCTATCTTTAGCTAGGTAAAATATTTAATGCATCCGTTTTTCTGTCATCATCTATCCAAGGTTATATGATCATGCTCTTTTTTTTTTACGCAAATGCTTTAAACCAGAGGAGTATCGGAAGAGCATGCTTTTAGAGGTCCAAAAGTGTGATCCAGACCTGCAGCTTCTTGATGAACTGATGACTGCAACATTCTCTCAGCGAAGAAAAGAAAATCATTGCTGACAAGCCACTCATCTCTGTAGTCAGGGACAGATGGCCTGCACTCTTCAATGAGAGACAGGTAACTAGTGCCAACCCAGACATTCACAGCAAGTTAAATTTCAAGGAAATTATGTATTTGCTTAAATGGATAGTAGTGACATGGCTGATTTAAATAAATTTGAGGTTCACATATGCCTGTGGAATCATTTTCATATTTTCCCTCTCAATCTTTGCTGTCTTATGTGTTTGTTTCAGATAAGTGATAAATGGACTAGATGCCTTGGTGCCAATTTTTTTAGAGCTGTACAAAGTCTCGTCAAGCAGGAGATTGAGCATTAGCAGAGTTATGCAGTGCCTTGATAAGGAGGTATGAATAACAATGAACTAATTATTTTACATTTGATTACTTAATTCAATTTTGGTTTCTAAAAAATACAGATAGGCCCACCTGAAAAGCACTGATTACTTCATTATTATTATTATTATTATTATTATGTAATTATTTGTTGTTGTTTTTTTTTTATAACTGTTTACTTGTTTAATAATCTTTGAAATTGGTGTTAATAGTTTTAGCTGTGGTATCATATGGAATAGAAAATTGTTAAAGGGATAGTTCACTTTGAAATAAATTTTTGGTATGTTTTATCTTACCTCAAGGGCATCCAAGATGTACGTGTCTTTGTTTCCACAGTATTTTCAATTTTGATATTTTTTAGGTCAAACCGTTGTTGTCTATCAGTCATATAATGCAGGTCTATGGTCACCACCTCAAAGAGCATACACAGAGAAGTCCAAATTAAACATATATGTTTGAATATGTTTAGTGAAAGGTAAAACTTCCTAAAAACGATATAAATACTGTTCGTTTTCTCACACAAACCGCTCGTTTCGTGTCTTAGGCCATCAATGTGTACTTACATTTACGAGTCATTCAATCATGTTTAATTTGGACTTCTCTGTGCTGCTCTTTGAGGTGGTGACCATAGACCTCCATTATATGACAGACAGACAAGAACAGTTTGACCGAAAAATATCAAAATTGAAAATATTGTGGAAACAAAGACACCTACATCTTGGATGCCCTTGAGGTAAGATAAAACACACCAAAATTTAATTTCAAAGTGAACTATCACTTTAAATTTCAGTGGTATCTAAAATTTGGGGTTTCAACATTTATAAGGATACATGGATCAAAAACAATAACTATTTTATTAATTTATTACTTTGTTGTGGTAATTGAGATCTTGTGAATCGAAATTGAATCGAGACATCTAAATTGATACCATACATAATATTTACTAACATTGGGATTCTAATTTGTATAATGCCAGTCACTTAGTCTTGTTTATAATTGTTCGTAGGACACAAATCAGAACAGAAGAACAGCTGCCTTACTTGGTCTTCCACACTTCTTTTCAGAGGATACTTCGGATATAACCAAGATGTGTGATGTAAGAAAATATATTTACACATTGTTGTTAACATACTAATAATACTGAATTCAGAGCAGTAGGGATGAAGAAAAATGTATTCTCTTTACTGTCATGATTTAGTTTTTGTGATTTTAACATTTCTTTGCATTCCAGAGTCAATAATAATTAATTAATTAATTAGCTTCATTTTAGTCTTTGTTTATAATAAATGATTGACCATACAGTGGCTTTTAGCCTAATTAGTGCTTCTCCAGTGGCTTGTTTTGACTGTCATCCCAGCCTTTTTAGAGCATATATTGAAATGAAGTAAAATCATGATATGGCAATTGTCATACTTTTATTGGACCATTTCTATAATTTTATAGACCAAATCTATCACATGACTTTTAAATAAGGATTGATATTGTCCATTTGTTTTAGGTTCATGGTGAAACCCTGGATGTCATTATGAAGGGAATGCGTGTTGGTCTACTGATTGGACACGAAGGTGTCCTGAATGATGCATTTCCTCTTGATGTCTCTAACGTGGCTGTGGTGGTAGAAGAGACAATTGTTCTCCATAATCTCAGAGACATACCCACTGGCTTTGCTCTGTTAATGGGCACAATCTACTGCCTTAACCTACTCCTTCGAATTCCTGCAGAAAGTGATCATGAAGATTAAAACTGACCACTGTTCTGCCAATATACATGGACTTCGAAACAAACTGCTGAGATATAATTTATAGACTGGTCTCAAACCATATATCGGAGGTAACATGTTATGTTTGCAGTCTTTGGAGGACACTTGACACTTGAGTTATTTGACACTGTTCAAAATTGATATTACCGACTATTTCAAGTAAAACCCAAGTACTGCTGAAAATTAACAGAAGCATAAATGTTTAGATGTGTTTTTAAAGGACAACTCTGGTCAATTTAAACATTGAGCTAATTTTTTTTGTACATTTGGAGTGCTGTCAGTACAGACAAAAATGACAAAAATTGTTGTTGCCTACACAGTGTTATCCTCCTTTTAAAATTCGTACTCTGTTGACTTCAATGGGACATGTCCTAAACCTGCTTTTAGCCTCTTGACAAGTTCACTGCCATGTGAGTGGTGTTATTAAGAGTGACCACGGTCAATCTGACTGCAGTAGATGTGAAAGATATTAATATAAATGATGTTAATTCAGCCAGCGCACATACCTGTATTTACTTCCTGTTTTTGGTCGAAGTCCAAAGTAGTTGATTGTCGAGTTCGCACGTTATTGCTTGGATACCAATGATCATGCGCACAAACTCGACAATCGACTAATGTGGACTTCGACCAAAAACAGGAAGTAAATACGGGTATGTGCGCTGGCTGAATTAACATCATTTATATTAATATCTTTCACATCTACTGCAGTCAGATTGACCGTGGTCACTCTTAATAAAACCACTCACATGGCTGTGCACTCGTAATGACAAATAAAGGATGTTAAGAGACTAAAAGCAGGTTTAGAACGTGTCCTATTGAAGTCAACAGGGTACGAATTTTAAAAAGAGGATAACACTGTGTAGGCGACAACAATTTTTGTCGTTTTTGTCTGTACTGACAGAACTCCAAATGTACAAAAAAAGAGCTTAATGTTAAAATTGACTGGAGTTCTTTAATAAAAAGTTGTTAATTTTGAGAATTTTGAAGCTTTTGCTGAGGGGACACTTATTGTTACTTTGCATTCTGTTCTTTAAATTGTCATCAACACAGTTGCTCTGCAAGGGTAGAAACAACATGGAATTGTTTAGCTAAGTTTAGCTGATTTTAAAAGTGTTTTAAACTGTAAAACAACTGCTGGTGTTGTCATTTACAACTGTAAAGACTATTTTGTTCCTATAAGAAAGTATGTGAAAGATGAAATGGTTGTCAAATAGGTAACATAGTGAAACTTTTTAATAATAATCCCTTACTGTAGAAGCTGTTTTCCTAACATGTATTATCATGTATTATCATAAAACCAATGTTAAGTTTATGCAGCATTGAACATTTTTACAATAAAAATATTTTTGAGCAAACAATTTAAGTTGATTATGAGTTTTCAATAATGTAACCTAGTAAGTTGTCTTAACTTGGAGAATCAAGTTGAAACAACAGTTGACAAAGTTGTTTAAACTCAGAGAGTCAAGTTGAAACAACGAATGTTCAGTAGCTAGATAACTTGTAAAACACAACATTGTAAGTTGAAACAAAGAATATATCTAAGTTGAGTTAACTCGTGTTTATAAGGCAGCAGGTGAACTTTCGTTTCTAAGTTTAACAGACTTGAAATGTTTTACAGTGTAAACATTTTAAGGCAACAAGGTCACTTTTTAGTTAAGTTAAAGCAACATTTTTTTTTAGTAATAATAATTAGGCCTAACTTGCTACATGTTACTAGGGTTGGGGTTTGATTTAGGGTGCATGTAATTACATCATTTTTAATTATTACTACAGTAACGTGTATGACACTGTAAAATAAAGTGTAGCCATATACCGACATTTTTATTGGGCTAGCATACTATTGCTTTAGCAACTTATGTAGCAACTTAGGCTATGCTAAGTAAATTCCTTGCACCTTCATTTGTAAATATTTTAAAATCACGTACGTTTTCCTCGGGTAGGCCTACTTTGCATGACCTGAACAAAACGTTCATTTTCATAATGTCAATTAATAAAGTAAAGACCTAAAATATAGACACCTAGAGGCTTTGTTTTATGGTGTTACTAAATAACACCGTGTTAGTGTCACATGACAAAATGGCTTCCTGCATCCACACTTTGATCTGGCTTATGTTTTTACAAAAATATTCTAGGCCTATTATTATTATTGTGCTACGAGACGAGAACAATTACATTTTCTCCCCAAGAAGTTCAGTCATTTAGTGAGAATATTTTAAGAAAACACAAACACAATAATGTAGCCTAAATCAATGAAGCCTGTTTGTTTCAAACAGAACGAAGTGGAAACGGCAGACCGCAGTTGGGCTGGAGCTGCTCGCGGAAGCAGGGAATTATTCAGCTCTACAGAGAATGTTCCCATCACCATACTTCTACCCACAAAGTTTGGTCTCTAACCTCGACCCGGGACCAGGGTTGTACCTCTACAGAGGGCCTTCCGTGCCTCCACCACCGGTTCAGCGGCCTCTGGTCCCGAGGATCCTCCTGCACGGTCTTCAGGGCGCCGGAGATCCAGCGTCTCTCTCTGGAGTGATACCGAGACACACGTCGCGATGAACTGATCCAACCTGACAGCAGCTCCAACCTCAGGAACGACAAACAGGGTTGCGCTTGGACAATACCCGTGTACTGAAAATAGTAACGCGCAATAATAGACTTTCCAAATGACTCTGACCAAAAGGCGAATGCTAACTATTTATTAAACTTTAACCTGCGAAAGAAGTTATCAGAAAATTATTTGTTGAGGTTCCATCCCCCCATGAACCTCGACCGTGACTGTTTTCTGATGAACTTGCTTTTCCCCTAAGAAATGGGGTGGTTTATTTGCACAAAATTATGACGCAAACTAACCAAAATAAGCATCATAAAATAATGTTAGTCCATTTCAGTGGAACCATAGGCAATACTGAAAAACTGTGGATTTTTTTTATCACTCTGTCTAATGTTAAAAATGCATTTTACGAACAAAAATAATAAAACTAAAATGACGGATTAAAAAATGTTGTAGGCCTATAACTGAAATTTGTCATTTGTCACCGCTATTGTGATGGTGGTTGGATTGCTGTGCGGCTATTTTACAAAAAAAAAAAAAAAAAAAAAAAAATCAAGTTTCCTCAATGAAATTCACAGATCAACGTAAAACATGGCTCTGCAACCTGCTTAGAGATTTGAATTGTTTTTGTGGAAATAGTGTTGTGGTTATGGGTACTTTTCAACCCCAGTTCAACAGACGCCAAAATACTTTTCTAAATAAAAGAGTGTGATTTTGTCACGGGAGTAGCCTAATTTATTTTCCTTCGATATCATCTTGGTCAAGCAATTATTGTATATTTTTGTGGATATATGACGCATAAAGTGGACTTTAAAAATGAGCAAATATCGAATTTGTAGAAGTGCATGAGCTGCATTGGAACAGAACCGACAGCCGTGAACGCAATACAAATGTCCAGTTTCCTGCGCTCATATTGCGAAACGCGAATACCACTTTCTCACACAACAATCTGCATTTACATCCACATTTACGTTTTTAATTAACACAAGCATACAAACTACAGCCAATGGAAACCTTTTGTGAGCCCTCTTCACAGGCGCTTCGTAAAGAGCAGTTCACCCACATCGAAATGAGAGTAACTGAGTAAGTGGTTTGTTGTGTGGGTTTAATTGACCAATAATAATAGGCGTTTCATTATTACAGACCAATCAAATTTTACAAGAGGCTTTTACCGTAATAAAGCGACCGTGAAACGTAATATTCCAGGCAAATTTCTTGCACCGAAGACTCGGCCAAAAGACAGCAGCTGGTGACCGGGCGAGACAGACTCAACGCTTGGACAGCTGGTCAGCGTAAGCCTCCATACATATCCAGTCCTATTTACCTGACCAAGCCGAAATTCAAGCCAGGGAAACGAGCTAAAAATCTTTTAACAAAGACTATTTTTATGAGTAATTCGTGTAACCTTGTGTACTTCTACAACATGAAAAAGGCATGACCCTGAAAAAACATTGGGTTCAATTCAATTTAGAGTCCAAAAATCAAACAAATACAACAAATTTTTATGTAAAATTCAGTCTGTTTTACAAAATTTTTATAAAACAGCTTAAGTTGGTATACATCCCATTGCTCAAATACATTTTTATAATAAAATTCAATGAGCAATAAAACATTTAATTTCACTCCAATAGGTATATTTTACCCTCCACACCAAAGCTTTTGCATGAGCAGGTTTTCAGACTGCTGCTGACCAGTCGTGCTTTGTTCCAGGTAAAAATCTCACAGTGTAAAAACACCTGTGAGTTCAACCGTGAGAATCCACCCGCCACGAAGGCTCTCGGCTCTCGAGCATCTCGGATCTCGCTCCTATATCTTCCACTTCATGCCGATTCCTCGTCCTCTGCTTGACCTTTCTTCTTTTTCCTCTTCTTCATAGACTTGGATTCTCCCTCTATCCCACTGAGATACTCGGAGCGCATTAGGTTTGACACCCGCTCCTTTGATGTGAGTTTCTTGGGAGGCCTGAAAAACATTTAAATGAAGAGAAACAATCACTCGTATTAAAAAGCATTTCCTCTCAAAATCAAAACAAATAAACAGCTCTTGAATTAACACGAACCTGTGCATTGCTCTAAACATTTCAAAAGCATTTCCTGTGAAGAGTGGAGGTAGTTAAGAATCTGGCTGGCTTGAGTCTGCCTGAACAAATTTCCCACTGTCGTCAATAAAAGGCTCGTAGACAGCAGCGGGGGCCTGATGTAAAACTAGTGACTGTTTATCTAATCAATAACTCTGGAGAATGAAGCGGCGCTTTGCCCCCATGGGGCTGCTTAAGGATCCAATACACACACCTACCTCATGGTGACACACGACACACTCTACCCCCAGGGCTTAGAGCAGCTATGAGACAGCAGTTATTGTTCTTTAGGTCTCTGAGCGCTCTACAGGGACCCCTACAGGCGATAAGCAGGATGTATGCAGACATACACAATGGTGTATATTATATATAGAATGTCACTATACAGTATTTACACTTACAGAAAGACGTGTCATAAATATATGCCTCAACAGCAGTGCTCTATCAGCTAGGTATAACAGCGTTAAAATCAGAAACCCATTAAAGTTCTCACAAACAAAGAACGTATAGCGGGAGATCTGCAAGCAAGCCGAGGAACAAAATGGAGTGAAATTAACAAAATAAGTACAAAAGCAGGGCGAGCAGGACGAGGCCGAGGGCTGCGAGAGAGCGGCACGAGGCCGGTGGCGGGATTGATAATGAGCGACACCTGCGCAACGCACCAGTCTCGTATCTCTCACGGACGAGCTGAAGCATAAAGGACAAGCGACGACAGTGAAGATCGAGAGAGGCCAGGCCTGGATTTGTATATTTGTTTTATTATATGTGAGAGCAGTCGTCTGTGAGGGGCTGCTGCCTTTACTTTTGTTTTGTTGTTTGGTTATTTTACATTATTAAAGTCTCTGAATGCTCGCCAGTTGCCGCCTCCATATTCCTATAACAACAAACTTTATTACAAATACAATGTCCATAACTAACATCCTCTAAACTATTCAGAATCAGACTAGGAAATGGACCAAATAACAACAAAAAGACAATCCACTGGGACGTCCCTACACACAGGGTTCCCAATTCCTATACATTCTGACCAATGAGTCTCAATGATTTGTCCATGACTTCATCAGCCATTTATTTGCTCTATTTTATAAGTATTTTCTACTTTTGTATTTACTAATTGTAATTTTAGCAAAAATAAAAAAAAGCAAACATATGCTCTACCGGTTGAAAGTTTGGAGCCAGTAAGATATTTTTTTCAACAAGGATGCATTAAATTGATCAAAAGTGACAGCAAATACTACAAAAAATATAGCACAAAACCACTTTCATTATTGATAATTAATATTTCTAGAGCAGAAAATCAGTATATTAGTATTTTTGGTTGCCTGTAATCGCCTCTCTTCTGTGTATCAAGGGTCTTTGTTGTTCAGTCACAAGTCCATAAGTGTGTGTGTGTGTGTGTGTGTGTTTATATTGGTGTGATTTGCTCATTAGAGAAATCTTGTCTGGACATGGACAGTGTATACCACAGCCAGCTGTAATGAAGTCTCTCCTGACAGGACGGCTAGACTCGACTGAGACCGTAAGGCACAGCGCAGCACAACACAGCAATGTCACACACATGCACACAATTAGGCTGGGAATGGTAAATGTTAATAGGGCCAAAGCACTGACCAGTTAAGTTGCATCGACATAGTGCAGCATGAATATATGGAGTGATGCCTGGTTAATATAGATGTCAGCTGTCAGCTACGATGGCTGATAAGTTCATTACGGGTGTTGTCTGTTGTCTGGGCAGTGGAGAAAGAGTGTGAGATGCGTTTGGGCTGCTCTGGGGGCAGCTCCTGTGGGACTGACCTATTGTCCCGCTCCATGGGATTCATTCACAGGTCCTGCTGCAGGTCACCCTGCCAATTACTAGTGGTTAGACACAAGCTTCTCCCTATAGTGTATGAGCCAGCATGTGGCACAAGACAAAACTCAGCACTACCATAAACAAGTGCACATGTACAAATGAAGCCATACAACAACGGCTTCATATAAAATTGTGAAATTACAATATGGATGAAATAAGCAGGGCTTAATTGAGAGAGTGTGTGTGTGTTGACAAATTAAAGAACCGCTTGATAAACATGTTCTTAACAGTCACTGCTGTTTATTGTGATGACGGGACGTTTCGTTTCAGTTTAGTTAAACTACTAAGTAGTCTACTAACTTTTGTAGCTGATTGAATATAAATGTGTGCCATGTTTGGACCTCATAAATGAAATAACCAATAATATTTGTTGGTTTTATCATATTAAAATAAATATTTAAAAACCATATTTCCCATCGTTTATATACTATAAACCATATTTGAATTTATAAATGCTCAGTTATTAAACAATCTTATTCATATTCATCAGTATCAATTCTAATAACATTCAGATATGTAGTTATATAAATGGAATAACGGTTTTCTAATTGTATTATTGGTTATTTGGAGTATGTCTCCTTACTTACACGTTGTCAATGTCACATGAACAACATGTCAATAACCTGGCTTAGGCCTTAAGATTCTAAAGTAAAAAATATCTCAGAAAGAGTTTCCAGTTTTTTTTATTTATTGAACATACCTGATAAATGACTGGTGGTTCAGTGAGAGAGCCAGCTGTGAAATCAGTAACGGCTCTGAAAGATTCACTGACACTGATGGAGTGAGTCTGACTTCAAACGGCCCACGAGCGGAGCAAGCGAGTTTGGAGCCATTTTGTGAATTTTGAGTCATTTATTCATGATTTGGACATTGTAATTCATGCTGTGTTTGCAGTTGTGTAAAGGAAACTCTGGTGCACGGTCGAATGAAATTTTCGTGAAATACTTTCCTGGCTGTCTTGATTTTAAAATTACTGGGGTTTTTTCTTAAAAATATTAAATAATAGCCTAAAAACCTGAAGGATTTTTACCCTAATAGTTTTACATACTGAGAATTTTCACAGTGCCCTTCCGCAACAGAATAAATTTTTCTGTAAAGAACGACTACAGACATCCCAAGTCTCCCGGAAGTTCCGGGAGTCTCCCGCATATTGATAGCGTCTCCCTGATGCCCGCAAATTAGTTAAAATCTCCCGGAAACTAGAGCGAGACATACTGCGCGCATAACATACATAGCGCGCTGCGCGTGCACTGTACAGGGGGAGAGACCGAGTGTGCCTCGCGAACGCGAAAGTTAGCCCTCCCTCCCACCCACGATCCTGTTATCGAAATATACCTCCCGGAAATGAATTCTTGCAGGTTGGGATGTCTGCGACTATTGGGACTGTTTTCCAATTAAATACAATGGTGCTACTAAATAAATTTTTAATGCGTCACTAACCTTTGAGTTAAGCAACTTTAACATCAGTTTTACCAAACTGTACCTGACACCCCCTTCACAGCACAGAGACAGCACGCAGGGGCTTTTGAGCCTTCATCTCAAAGGCACACCGAAGAACAGAAGGTGGGATGAAAGACAGGGAAGTAAAATGCAGTAGAATACACTGACAATAACAAAAATGACAGTTTTGGTCTGACAAGAGAACTGTGATCATTGCATGCTCGGGTCAGCTATGAAATGCACGCTAAACCCTAAAGGAGAGCTCTCTATGTGAATACTCTTTATTTAAAGTCCCCCTGTGGTGAAAATCACGTTTTTAATGTCGTTTATAAGTCTATGGTGTTTTAGATAT